GGCGGACCTGGAGCGCAGCGCGGCGCACGTGGACGCCGTGGAGCTCTGCTTCACCGATCTCACGGAGGAGATGCTGCTGCAGCTGCTGCCGGCGCTGGGCGCCCTGCCCCGGCTCACCACGCTCTCCCTCAACGGCAACCGCCTCACCAAGGCCGTGCTGCGCGACCTCACCGAGGCCCTCAAGGACCCCGCCAGGTTCCCCAGCGTCACGTGGATCGACCTGGGCAACAACGTGGACATCTTCTCCTTGCCGCAGCCCTTCCTGGTGGGCCTCAAGAAGCGCTGCCCCAAGCAAGGCAACCTGCCCACCATCTTGGAGTTCGCCGAGGGCCAGCCCGGCGAGCCCGAGGGACCAGAGGGCTCCGCCGAGAGCCATGAGGAGCCACAAGGGCTCGACCGCCTTGACTTGCGGCCCATGGAGCCGGCGATGCTGGGGCAGGAGGCTGTGGCCGCACAGACGTGATGGCCGGTGCGGGCGCCTCTCGGGCGCCTGGCGCGGGGTGGATGAGAGACGAGGCCTTGGCGGCGCGGCCGGGATGCAGGGTCCGTTGGCGCATGGGAAGCGTTGGGATCCGCACAGCCTCCAAACCACGACTGACCGGCTGTATTTTTCATGTTAAAAGCCACGTAGATCTGATCGCATTGAATAGTTTATATTTTATAAAAGCTGGACCGATCTTTTCTAAACGTGCTGTGCTTTGTCACCCCTCGCAAACGCCCATGTCACCACCCATCCTTGCAGTGGTGGGAAGGACAGCGAGGAGCAGCACATGATGGATGGACAAACATCTTCTAAAGGTGACAGCCGCCGGGACGAAGCCTGTACCGATATCGGGCCTCAACCACAGCCATCTTCAAGGAGGCCGAGGTCGAGCCCTCACCCTTCCAGCCCGGCCCATGTTGCTTCAGCTCTTGAGCCGCTCTTGGGGATCCCGCTCTGGTGTGGGGCTCAGCTACAGTTCGTTGCTGCTGACAACACCTGTGAGAAATGTGTGTTTCTAAAAGGACAAAAAAAAAAGAAAAAGAAATAAAACTGTTTTTTTTTCCCTCCCTCTATCACTGCTGCTCTGGGCTGGGGGCACCAGTTAACCAAAGTTTTAAAGCCTTGGAAAAGTGATTGCGTCCATTCCCCCGGGTCCAGAAGTGCTTTGTTACTACTACATTGTGGATTTTGTTCTTTTTTTAAATTTTAGAGACACGGATATGGGTTTTTTTGACAGCAAATGACTTGCTCCAGTGCTGGAACAGTCCCTAGGGCTGCCCAACCGCAGGTTGAGGACTTCCCCCTAGCCGAGGACCAAACTTACTCCCTTTGCTAGGGAGCCGCTCCGTCTCCGTCCGCATCCCCAGCTCAGCAGGGTTTACAGCCTCATGCTCCGGCTTTTAGTGAACTGTGGGCTTTGCTTTTTCTGGGTGTAAACACAGGCCTTTTGGTCCTCCCTTTGCCTCCGTCTGGTTCCCACTAGTGCACAGGAAGCCGCATGCCTTGTGGGCTGCTTCTCTTCCCTGTGCAAGCAGGAAACTTAGAAGAAACTCTGCTACTTGTTCTAATACATTCAGCAAAGTTCAATATGATTTGCATGTAGCCGAGGCTTTTTGTTTGGTTGGTTTTTAATGCTAATTCTTCCCAACAGGCATGAAAAAAATTGCAGTGAATAAAGGATTCTGTTTGAAATGAAGGAATTTTACCCATAATGGAAATAAATGAGGATGTTTAGTAAAGACTTGGTGTTGAATTTGCATCTTGGGCTACTCGCCCAGCCAAACCTGCTCAAGGAGGAGGAGGTGGTCGAAGAGCAATAAGGGTTTTTCTGCATGGGTCACCAGCTGCCTAGAAAAATAAAAAGCCCAGGTTGTTGGCTGGAGCCTGCAGGATGGACACAAGATGTGCAGAAGCATCATAAAAGTAGCATTTCTTAATTTTTATTTTATTTATTTTTAAGTTTATAATTCTCACCAGGGCTCAAAACTTTCCAAAGCTCCTGGGGAGCCTGTCAGAAAGCGTGGAGGATGAATTATCCCAGCGCCGAAAGAAAAACAACCAGCAAGGGCCTCATAAGCAATACATACATGCACACTAAAGCATACACCAAATAAATGACTTTCAAAAAAAAAAAAAAATCCACCCCGACACGGCGCCAGTAGATGCAGTTATAAAAGCACCAGGGCTTTAGCTAATCAGGCTCTTTTCCTTGCAGTGCAGATTAGGTCAATTAGCCAGTTATTGCACTTCAGAGCAGCGATGATGCTGTGGGCACAGTAAAAAGTGCTTTTTTATTTTTATTTATTTATTTATTTGAAAAAAAAAAAAGAAAAAGAAAGCAGCAGGAGTCTGCTTCCCTCTCCAGCCCATCAGCATCAAAACAAGCCTGGCGCTCCCCCGTATAGCATTGCTATTGCCATCGCTGCAGACGGATCCGGAGCTTTTCCGTAGTCCAAGAAGGGCAGAGCCGTCGCTCCCATGCTTTTCCTGCAGCCGATCAAACACACCGTGTTCACACGAGGCGTTTTGCACCCAGACTCTCACATCTCCGTGATTTCCTCCCGTTCACCCCTCGGGAAGATGCTCGGCCTTTCGTGCATTGTTGCCACGAAAGCTCCCGGTTTCCATTAGCTGGAAGCACATCGGGAGCCGACGCTATTGCCAAGGAAACCGGCTGGTCTCGGGGACACGACCCGGTGCTTATTGGGACGGGGGAAAAAAAACAAATCCAAGGCCTGCGGTGCGCTCGGGTGTGCAGCACATCAGAGCCCGGAAAGGCAGCACGGCTGCAAATGCCTCCGTAACGCCCGGCACCTCCGAGCTGGGATCTGCCCAGTGGGGTGTCTTCCACCAGGAGGTCGTGCACAGCCGGCATTAAATGACATCATTAGCATTAAATCTCTTCTAATATCATCTGGAGGACTGCTAATCGGGGAGCTTCTCTGACAGCTCTTAAGAGAAAAATAAGAAAAAAAGCAGAAAGTGTTTAGGTGAATATCAAGTTTTGGGGTAAGGGGGCTTTGCTATTTCAGGAAAAGTCTTTGGGCCGTTTTCTTACAGAAAATACTGCTTTAACTCCCTACCATGGACCTGGAACTGTGCTTTTAAGCATGTAGCACAGTAAGAAGGATTTCAGAGCGTCTTAGCCTGAGATGCCCTGTCCTCTCCATCTGCCAGGTCCCTGACACCGGTGCCAAAGCAGCGGCTGGGAGACACGAATCCCTCCTACCAACTTAAATTACCCCTCAGTCTTTCCAGCAGGTAAAAAAATGGGAAAACTGCTCCAAGCTGGCAGTATTTGCAGAGGCCTTGAGATGCTTCCAGACACAGCATTAAATAAAAGCAAAGGATTAAGAACACAAGCTGAACGTAATCCACAGCTGACACTGCTCCCGCTAGTTAATGGATAAAATGTACAACCTTGGAAGGCTAAGGGTCCTCAGAGGCAGCTCCCAGGGCTTCTCTGCATAAGGAACCATCAAGGGATGGTTTCCTCGCACTGCCAGGATCGATTTCAGTTTTGGAAACATCTCACGGCTGCAGTTTACAGCCCCTTTCGGCAGTCTTAAACTCTGCATTTTCTCTCCTCTCTTCTGTAACGCTGCAGCACCCAGTAACTCTTTCACCTGAAAGAGTTAGTAACTCTGCTTAGGTGAAAGTAACTCTTTCACCTGAAGCTTAGCTTATGGTGTTACCCCAAATGGAAACCCGAATTTAATGCAGTTAGAAAAGAAGCAATCTGCTCCCCACTGCCCTTTGGTTACTTGTGCAATGGTCTCAGTCGGTTCCCCACACACTAAGCGCTTACTGGTTCGGTAGCATCTCCTCAACCTTTCATCCTTGTTTTCCATTTTATTAATTCACTCATAGGAGAAAATAACCCCATGGTGCCCACACGGGCACATGGGGAAGGTTTGCTTAGCTGTGTGGTCTGTTTGCTTGCACGATAGGTGAAATTCCTGTGGTATAAAGATCATATAGAAGAGACTATAGCCCAAAGCATCCTATTAGGGGCACATCTGTCCGATGGGTATAAAGCCCTGGAGACGCAGGGACTGGTCCTGTGCAATAGTCAAAGCTAAAGGGGTGCCCAGAGCAGGGGGAGCTGCCCCATCCCGGCGGTGGCAGAGGGATCCCACCCTGGACACCGGGATTTAATGAGATTATTTGGGGTCTAACATTGCTGAAGGCAGATTGTGTCATGCCGGCTTGCAGCTACCCAAAGGCCTTGCTTTCTAACATGGATCAGCTTATCAGGGGATATAGAGGAGAGCAGAGAAATTGCCAGAGTGATTAACAGCAATTTGAAGCCGTTCTATCAGGAAAAAAGACTCAGCTGCATGGGATGAACCTGGGGCTGGTGGAGAAAGTCTGTGCTGCATCTGTCCCACAACTTTAATCTTATTTTGCACGTGTGGTTCAGCTCAAATACAATAAATACATGCTCTGCACAAAACAAAGGTCCTGCACGAAGGGCCGGGCTCCCAAACACCCTCTCGAGAGCTCCCTGCAGGAGCAGGGCCAACGTTTTCCAGGTTCAGCTCTGAAAAATCGTCTTAATTTCCTGCAAACACAGAGCATCTTTCATCCTGGCCGCTACCAGGATGCTGCTACCAGGACACGCACTGGGAGAGAGGACCAGAGCAGCGTTAAATCCGATTCCAAGGGCACGCACCTCCGTGCAGCTTCCTCCCAGCTCCCACCTTGCTTGGAAACAACTTTCATCTTCCTCCCAGCAGGAGCCCTGTGCATCTCAGAGCCCGAGCAGCGCTCGCCACAAGGATTTCACTTATTTGCTGCTACGGTGGAAGGCAATAAATAGCCGATTTGACACAGTTAAGTAAAAGCACTTGGAGAGCTGGCCGGCTGCTCTGGTTTTCCTGGCTCACCGGGTCAGCTGCTGCTCTCCAACTCTTTCCTCCATAACCGGGAGCTCCTGGAGCAACCCGGCCCCACAGCGATGCTCATTTGAGATGGTTTGAGGGGGCACGATGGAGAAAAGGGCTGTATCCTCAGCCGCCTCCCCTGCTGCCCTCGTGGGCCATGCTGCATAACTGTGACTTATCCCCAGGCCATAGCGTGGGCATCACATTTGCTATCAGCTAAACGTGCCCATAAACTGCCACCTGCACAAATCACTGGCATCTCGACCCAGATGTTTATTAGTAAATCAAGGTGAGAAAAGAAACAGCAATATCCCACCAGGAAGACATCAGCGGCATCAGCCAAACTAATCACGAGGGGGTTCGTGGAGAGACTTTGTGCTGCAGCTCTTGTACACAGCTATTTTACTATAAACTATTAATAATAGCGTTATGAAAAACCTAACTAATGCAGCACAAACTCAAGCAGCCGCTCCAAGCAAAACAAGCAGGTGCCAGAAAGACGCTACAGCCCTGTAGATAAAGCTGATTGAAACAGCAGGGATTTCTGCTTCAGTCTCCACAGCATAAATAATTTATTTTTCTGTTTTGCTCAGG